ATTTCAAAAATCATATATATATATATATATAATGCTATAACTATTTCTCTTTTATAAATATTGTGCTCATCGTAAAGGTTACGGCATTCTATTCAGAGAGCTAATCTTAAATAAAATACAATAGTAATTCCTTTTAAGATTTAAATTGCAACATTGTAGGGAGAGAGTATTTTTGTTATCTCTCACTCTCTCTTTCTCTCTCTCTCTCTCTCTCTCTCTCTCTCTCTCTGTAAAATTTGAACCAATCAACATATCTACCGACTAGTTTTATTACTTTCAACATTAATTATAAATGATATTGCAACATATGCTAGTATAACAATATATATTAATAAATTATACATTTGCACAGTGATATTTATACAATTGTATTCTCGATAAACTTCATTGTAAGATAATTATTCGTTAGACATTAAAAGCTTTCTCATCCTCCTTTATAATTATATTAATGTTCAATTATTCTTATTCGCAATTAAGTAATTTGCTTACAATTTATTGAATCTTTTAATATAATTATAAGAATTAAAATTTGTGTTATTCTTTGCAAGAATTTCCTTCACTTTAACGTAAAAGAAGTCTTTAATAATCAATTCTCAATATTTCAGGAAATAATGTAACATTTTATTTAATCATAAATAATGCATTTCGATACGAATTACAATATTTATATAATAACAAATATATGATTGTGATATGTGAGTTCATAAATCTTTCATTTCTCTTATCTATTTATTTGAAAATTATTTTCATCATTATTGTAAATGAAAATATTTCATTTTTTGATCACGTTATTTAAATATTATTAATTAATTTATCTACTAAATTCTAACATACTAAAATTATATGTGCTTTTGTAAGTATAAGTTTTAATAAGCCATTGACTGAAACAAAATAAAATATGTTTTACAAAAGAAAATATGTTCTTAGAAAATCTTATTGTTATGTCAGAACATTTTATAAAACTATTGTTAAATTCAGTTTTCTGAATAATATTTTAGTATTGATGAGAGTATGCAACTGAAGCTTACTTACTGTGCTGTTTCAAGTTGAAAGTACAACATACATTAAAAAAAATTCTTCGTCAAGTTTATTTTCACGAGTTAATTTACTATCATATATGACTTGCATTATATTATCTATAATTAATAAATTTTCTCTCTATTAAAGTAAATATTGTTTTATTAAATGATATTCTCTAATATTAAGAATTTGTGTATAGTAAGTATTGTGCAATTTTTTAAAATTTTCATCCCAACAAATTGTGTTTAACTTTCTTATTGTACTTTAGACATTACTTGCATAAATAATTTTGCTTCTCAATATAAAAGAAATAATAAAATTTTGAAAAATAAATAATGCTCCTCGTTCTTCGTGGATGTACCCTCTGTACTAACTAAATTAATAAGTTAATGAAATAGGTTTGTTTTTCAGTTTAATAATTGACTTTTGCAATAATTCAATGCAAGTATTGTTATGTTTAGTTAATTACAAACAAAATGAAAATAGTGCGTTTTGATTGCATGCGTTGATAATCGTCTATGCGCGTTTATAAATTTCTCCTAAAATACTAAAAGTAAAAATGACAAAATTTCATGATAAACGTACAAGAGAATATTATTCTACAAACTGAAGTGCAATCATTGAAAAAAAGTTGCTATATAATTGTATAAAAAAATCTATAAATGAAAATATGTATACATCAGTTTTTGCAATTAAAACATGATAAAACGTTGAACAAGATGTCGGGTTCGAAAAATGTATAAAAGAAACGAGAACTTGAGAGAAATACCCGTGGATGATGTGATCCTCAAAACCACAACCGAACTTAACTCTGGATAGAATTCTGAGAGGCTTTTCATTCGCAATGAAATAGAGAGGCGATCAGAGAGAGAGAGAAAGAGAGAGAGAGAGAGAGAAAGGTGAACGCACCCTCGTTAAAATAGTAGCTTGATTTTTAATGCAACGAGTTCAGAAGCATATTGAAAGTCTCGGCGTATCGGAATGTAAACGCGAGTGCTAGCAAGAGGGAAGCATCAGTCGTTGGCTGCGCAGGTGGGTGCCTAAGGTTCTCGCGTGTTCGGCAACTCTGGGTGCCCGTAATGCCACTTTTTCTCCTCCCGACGCCGTCTCTCTCATGCGGCGCGGGCTGGAGACTCATTCGGCGGCAGGAGGCCGGGGGGAGCGAGGGCGCGATAGAGTGAGCGTGAGCGAGAGAGAAGGTAGGCAACCAGGCGGTGGTTCGATACGCGCGGGCGCGCAAGCTCGCAAGCTCGGTCTCCCTCGCGTGCTTCTGCACACCCGCCAGCGACGAGACGCCGAGCCGTTCTCTCGGACAGTGCCGCCAGAGCTTTCGTGAGAGACGCCTGTGATTATCGTAAGCGCGCCGTTAGAGAACGAGAACCGGGTGGCCTACTCCTCTTACCCCGAGCCCTGTCGCCAACCTCCCTCTTCCCTCGGCAAATTGAAGATTCTTCAATCTGCCGAGGAGGCGTCGTCGCGCCTCTTTGACCCCCTTTCTTCACACGGCGAGAGATCGCGAGCCGCGAGCCGCGACATTCAAACTCTCAACGGGGTTACTTACACCGTCGACGTTGACCTGCTGCTGGGCGGGCAACACGCTGACCTCCCCGTTCCATCGGTCTTCTCTCCTCCGCCCCGAAACCACCATCGTCACCACACGCCAATCCCGTCTCCCCTACAATCTCGTTCTATCTTTTATTCTCGGTTCGGAGTGCAATCTCCTCGGGTGCGAAAGCACTATTTGGTCATGTCACTTTTCGCTCCTCTGTCTCTCGCGTGTTCACTCCGAGTCAGGCTCGCTAGTTAGAGCGTGAAAACCTCCTGCGAAAGCGACCAACGGCTCGTCGATCGATTTGCAGGTCGTAAGCTCGATGCCTCAGCCAGCGCTTGTGCTTTCTTCTTCATTGCTTTCACCTCGGCTTACGAATTCTTATCAAATTTTACCCTCGTATGCTATTTCTAAGTACGCGTTGTCGCATCGCTGCTTTCCGCTCGCATTTCTCACTCACTAATTCAACTGTTGGTTCAAGCACACTGAACTTTACTTTGAATTGTTAATGTGACGCGCGTTTAATAGAATTGCATGCCTGTACATGGTTGTCGAAGGAGTAACGGTCCGCCTAACACAGCCTAGGAAAACATTTAATTTTCAAAAAAGAAAAACAAAGCAAAACAAAAAGGCAATAAAAAAAATACAAAAAGAATGAAAAAATTATAGTAAGTGTGAGTTTTGCAACGACTCTAATAAATTGTAATAAGAGAAAAAAAATAAACAAAAAAGAACAAAAAAGGACGAATAATAAAAAGTAAATCTAATTGATATGTATCGAGCCGCGTATGTGTAAATTTACGATCAATCGAAATAGTTTCGTCAAACGACAGGTGCAAACGTACATTCATCGGACAATTTTTCGATTCTCGAATGATCGCGAGACCATCGGGGCTCGATCTACCGCCCGCTCGCGGCTATCGACGTTTCTTCCTTCGTACGAGCGGTCGCTCATTTTTCCCTTGCTCCCTACTTCGCATCGTCTCGCCGCTCATATACGTGTGATTATTTTTCAGGGAAAATCCACGAGACGAGCCGAGCGTTACGGTAAACCCCCACACCGACGGCACTTACACGGGCACGGGCACGCGCACGTACGCGGACACTCGCGCACACGGGCGCACGCACAACACACACGAGCACGCGCACACTGGTCGAGAGGGACGAGAAGAGAACGAGCAAGGAAAGAAGAGTCGGAGATGCGAAGGGGGTAGGAGGATAGTGCGTGCCTCGCGGGTGTGACAAGATAACCCTATAATTAATAAGGTGCACAGCGCGGAAAAGGAGCAACAATTGTGATATGTGCGTTATAGTCCGGCGGCCACTAGCTTGCATTCCGGGTTCCTAGTTCCCTACTAGAACTCGGGCTTCCAGATGATTATCATAGGCAATAGTCAGGACGAAGACATTGCAGTGTCAGCGCCAGTGGATATAGAAACGAGGAGACTTACGACGAGGCGACCAAGACTAGAGGAGTTCGCGAGGGGACATGAAAGAACATTGCTCGCTTGCACGAGTCGAGAACACCAGGCAAAAACTCGAATCTAGGGATCTACGAGGCCGGATCCAAGCCAAAACGTAAAAGCTCCTAAAGGACACAAGCTTAACAAACAACTAAATAAGAAAATAATAACAAGGCCATCCTCATCCGATGACTGTGACTCTGTAGTTTTCAAAGTTTCTTCGCTAATAAAAAGAAATACTACAGACCCCCGATGCATTCGTTATGCGCACGTTACACGAGTCTCGTTAAGGGCAGCGATTAGAGTAGAAAATTTTGGACTTTTGACTGATTTAATAGATGTAAGAAAAAAGAATTAAAATAAAAAATAAAAATAAAAATAATAAATAAATAAATTAATTAATTAATTAATTAATTAATTCATTCATTCATTCATAAAAAAATTAAAATCCGACTATTCGTCTAGTTGGTTATGTTGCTGCCTATGGCAACGCAGTCCGCGAGAAAGAAAGGACTTTACGCGTATATGATAAAATATATTGTTTAGTAGTTAGTAGATTGGATAGTATAGTATAGTAGGATTGGTTAAAAATGTTTATGGAGAGGGGAGTCAGTGGCTTAGCTATCGGAAATACCGTACGCTAAAAGCATTGACAGCTTCCGATCCAAAAACAAAGGGAGGCGGAAGATCAAAGGAAAGGGATAGGTGGGCTGGGGTAGGTGGATGAGGAATGAGAAAGAGAGGGAGAAAGAGGCTCGAACGACAAGGCTTGAACGATGAGGCTTTGCTCGTATCAAAGGGCGGAGAGGGCGAAGGGGTCGTTGCCTGGCGCGGGAAATGCTAGCGCGTGAAAGTGCTGGAAGAAAGCGAGCTAAGGGGTTAGCTACGATGAAACATCGGCTTGAGCGGGAGCAGCAGAAGCAGCAGGAGCAGCAACAGCAGTCGAAGCAGCCCCGGGCAGCTGACCAATGACATCTCGGAGAGCTGGGCCCGAGGGACAGAGAGATCCCCGAAGTCCCAATCGAAGCAGCGGCGGCTCGGAGGACAACGGCTTCGGGCGGCGACCCCGAGTTTCCGGCCTCCAGGAGCACGCGGCCGTCAACCTGGACCAACGAGCCCGATTCACCGGCAGTTTGCAGAATCTCGCTCGGGCTCCGTCACTCGTACCACCGCCCGTCCCACCACGTACGCCCCAGGTGAGGCAGCCCCGTCAACGCGGCTGTGCTCGGCCTCTTCCGCCCCTGCCTCCGACGGTCCAGCCCTCGACGTCTCAGCCACAACCGCAGTCGCAGCCGCATCCGCAGCCGCAGCCGCAGCCGCAGTCGCAGTCACAGGCGCAGTTGCCGCCGCAACCGCCGCCACCCCCACGGCAGCCGACGCCACCGCCACTGCCCCCCGAACGCTCGTGTGCCCAGGTCCAGGATGGCCAAACTGCCGCATCCGAGGCTCCGAGTCCGGAGGAGCCTAACCAAAATGAGGAGGAGGAGACGGCGGAGAAGACCGAGCTCACGCCCATCCTCTTCGCCAGGTGCAATCCTAGCGCCGGCTCTTCGAGACATCCTCGCGACGAGGATGAGACCGCCGCCGAGGAAGCAGCCGTCCAAGGGACGAGACTTAGGCCACCCCTGGCAGGCACAGTCGCCCTCTCCGCTGACTCGGGCACCGGCGACACCGCCGACAGCCTCGAGGCACAAATCGACGGATCGCAGCATCGGGAGACGCCTGCCAATACCGAGGCCAAGGGCGAGGCCGACGAGGTCGCCGATGACGAGAAGCTGAACGAGCTCGAGAAATTGCGAGACCTGGACCAAAGACTGCCTGCTGGAGAGACGCCGACTCTAGAATCCAAGTTCTCGAGCGCCAAGGGAAACAAGCAGCAGGTCAAGCCCTTCACCAAGGCGAGCCTCGATAGACTCGAGAGCAGACACGTGCAACTCGTACGGGACTATGGCTTCCAGCCTAAGAGGAAGACCTCCGTCGAAGATGGCGGTGTGCTGCCCAACAAGTTCGAGCCTTTTCCCTCGAATCTTTACGGCCGGCCCCTCGAAGAAATAGACAATTTCATTTACGACGAGGTCAGTGTTCATTATTATTACATGCCTCACTTCCGCATTCTTCTCTTGGTCCGACTGAATTAATTTCCTTACACCGACGACATCGACGATTGCGATGTATTTGTGCAATACGAGTATCACCTTTGCTCGTTATGATGGCTAAGTGAGACAAATAGTCATCCCCGCTCCAACTCATTATGACAATTAAACGTGTGAAAGCGAGTGAAATTTAGCCATCCCTGTCCGTCCCTTTGTAGATTTCGCGATAAATATGAATTTGAGTCTCAAGGTGGCGATGTTCATTTACGAAGGTACCATATCACTTTTAAATATTGCAGATCATTGATTATAGATGTTTTGTGTAATAATATATTCAATGCTGTAGGTCGCGATACGTTCTTTATTATATGAAGACTATTGTCAATTACGATATTCCATCGCTAAGAAATAAAATAGAAATTTTGACAAATATCAATTAGTAAAAAAAAGTGTATTGGTTCTCGGATAGCGAATAGGTAATTATTTAATACAATTTAAAATAATAAATCGAATCCTCGCGGTCAAATCTTTATTTCATGTACCGTAATTTAGCAATGATTGATAAATAATTTATATAAAAGATGGAATACATCGATAACTTCTCATCTAATGCAGGTTTATGATTCCGTTAGGCAAGTTTTATGCATTTTTGTGAACGTAATATACCCTCCTCTTCTAATAAAAATGCATCTCCGATCGATTCATAGAACGCAGCAATTTCCAGGCAAGTTGATAATAATTTATTATTAAACATTAGTTCCATTGATGCGGCATTGTATAGAAAAACATCGTATTTTCCAGATCTCGATAATATACGGGAAATAAATGTCGCGTACGTATTAATTCTAGTACCTTAGAAACTGTGAACTTGCAATTCACTTGCCCTTACCGGCATTATGCGTTACAAGCTTAATTTTCACTACGATGCAAAATAATTTCTAATAACCGGGCCATTATGTAATAAGACATCGACTGGGATATTGGTGTGCGGCTTAAAATTTTAATGAAAATAAAAATTATTCGACATTATCTAAATTCATAGACGGAAATAACAACAACAAATTTGTTACTCATTCATCAAAATAATCTATGAATTCCAATTTATGAATGTGAAAAGCAACTATTAAAAAATGAAATCCTACAAATTTATAAACAAAATTCTTTTTATTCCACCAATCTGTCTTTATACAAATAAATACTCGTGTAATCATTACGAGCTAATGTTTTCAATTATTAAACAGCAGATTTTTGTGCTAATAACTAATTTTAAATGAAAAAACTAATTCATTATTCATTGTAAAATTTATTTATATTTTTAATTAAAATCAGGCGACATATGTACGTTGTCAGGTCTACTAACTTCTACGTTTGTTAGAGAGATTTTAAATAAATCCAACAGAATTAAACGAATTACTATTACGAAAATACTTAAACAAGTTTTCGTATTCGCTTAACTCTTACACTTTATTTATTATTTGATTAGATGATTTATAATGTAAATTTATTTATCGTCAATCCATTAGTTTCAAATATAAGACGAATAGAACTTACAAAGTAATAAATCTCAAATGAAATACAATTTGAAATGTGTTTTGCTTCATGTCGATCAATATATTTAAATAGTCGATAACATCTAATATTTTTACTTCGTGAATACATCAAAACTATGCTATCTTATAATCAATTATATTTGAATATTTTTCAGTTTTAATATACTTTTTTACAATTTTAATGAAGAAAAAGTACAAAGTACAGTTCGGAACCACTGGCAAATTAAAAAAATATTCATAATAACAATAAGTTTTTATTTTAATCGATGATGAATTCTAAATATTGAAGTATTTTAACAGTATCTTCTATATTTTTTTTACATTAAAATATTTTAGTAAATTTATAAATTCGATGTATAGACTACTTCTTAAAACATTCAAGATATAGAATCAAAAGATAATAACGTAGAAAAACATTTACGATTCATGAAAATTTCCTATATAAAATTGAAATATCAAGATATTTAAGACTGTTTTTATTAACCTACGTAACCTCAAAACATTTTCTTTGACTTTCAATACATGTGTATATATATATGCACACATATAATATATATAAACATATATATAATATATATACACATATAATATACATTATATATATATATATATATATATATATATAATGTATATTATATGTGTATATATATTATATATATGTTTATATATATTATATGTGTGCATATATATATACACATGTATTGAAAGTCAAAGAAAATGTTTTGAGGTTACGTAGGTTAATAAAACAGTCTTAAATATATTGATATTTCATAATATATATATAATGCAACAGCCAGTCTATTGAATTAAACAAGTACTTAATTAATATTTAAATTGAATATTAATAGTAATATAGTCATAAAATCGTTTTTTTATATTTTTATATTTATTTTATTTGCGCTAATATTTATTTATTAATCGTTTAAAATATATTATTTGGAAAATTCCGATTCTAATTATAATAGCAGATAAAGTAAAAAGAAAATAAAGTAATATAAAGTATTTAACCAAAATTAATTTTATTTTAATATTGCTGATAAAAATTAATTTATCGACATGACGATTTTTACAATTACATTGCTTAAATTCTTCAACATTCCATAGAAATTTTAATTTTATATAGTACTTATTAGATAAATAATTTATCAATGTGTATATGCTTTATTAAGTGCAAAATTTTTAAATTAATTTACTTTGTATCGAATTGATACGAATTTTTGTTGTTGGAGTAATTTTTATTTACTACCTTGAACAGATGTTAGCTTTTTTCATTCATATTTTATTATCCATCGAAGACTACACGAATTGAAATAAACTGTATATGGTAAAAAGGATATGTAAGATTACGTTATATATTATTGTTAAAAAATAAAAAAAAAGAAACCAAAAGTAATACTCATTAATTGTACGACTTATTAATAAACATTTTCGAAATACAATACGAGTTTTTTTGCATTAGAGTGAATTTCAAATGCTTGATTACATTGGAATCAGTTTTATTTTAAAGTATCTTTTATACTATCTGCGTACTTATCAAACACTAGCTGTTTTATTATCTTGGAATATTCGTGACTCGTAAATAGCTTCTTTACGATATTTCAAATTATGTCTTTACTATAATACTTCCAATAAAACTTTTAAGTATTATAACATAAATTTTCTTGAGGCTCCTATTATTCGTAAAATTATGATTAACATTATCCGCAATAAATATTTCTTTAAATGCACTAACATTTAAAAATTTGATATACAATGTGTGGTAAAAGGTAATTTTTAAAAAAATACGTACAAATATAAGAGTGCGATAACATTTAAATAAATTAAATAAATAGAACAACTTCTAGTGACTCAAGTATCTTGTTGCCGCGAGACAAAGAAAATCCAGCTTGAAGTAATGGGAAAGTGATGTTAGAGTAGATCCAGATTTCTTCAAGAAAAATGTGTAAGAAGCGTTTTAGCAAATAATGTACTAGTAGAATCTGATATATAAAAAGGCATACAATTTTGAGGTTTTTCTACAGAAATTTCTACCATTATAATATAATATATATATATATATATATTTATTAAGTAGATATAAAGTTATATTATATTATATAATATATTATTATATTATTATATTATTATAATATATAAATTTTATTATTATAATATAATAAAAAATAGATATAAAGTTTTTATACGACATATGAATATAAAACAAAGCACAGATATATTTTTTATTTAAAAAACAAGTAATCATATAATATAATAAGATTGTCTTGATACATAAAAGTATGTCTGAAATGATAAATCAATGACATAAACATTTATCGATAGAAACATCAATAATAAATAAATATTCTTTAATGGCTTGTGTAAGATTTTACAAAATTTAGATAAAATATTAAGTTTACCGATCATTATATTAATATTAAATAGCGAAATAACAATCAAAAGTCCATCGTTATTATTTGATAAGGAAAAAAAGTTTCATTTAACTTTCATTTGAAAAAATAGGTAAAATATAGGTAAAAAACTACAGCATCTGATTTTAATAAGAAAGCTTTAAAAGTATATAAGAAAAAATTGAAAAGTAGATTTCTTCATGGAATAAATATGTTACATTTAAAAAAAAAAATAGTACATAGTTCCGAAATGTAATTAAATCTAGTTGATTACATTAAATGTAATATGCAATTGTATATAGTGGAGTTTCGCAATTGAAGTTATTCATTTTTTTGTTACTGATTTTCATGGGATGTCTATGGGAAATCTTCATTCTCGTAAAATTGTTAATATAGCTGAAATATGTTTTTATAGAAATTTTCTATTACCGCTATTTTCATAAAACACTTATTCTTACATTTTTCTAAGACAATATTTATCATTTTATTTGTTTAGTATTTGAAAAATATTTATTAAAAAACAATATTTTAAGCAAATAAAAGAAATTGTTAGGATAAATAGTATATATTTATTATATATTTATATAATATATATATATATATATATATATATATATATAAATATATTTCATAGAGATGCTTTTCCAAATGTAACGCATTAATGCATACACAGATTTCTATACATTTTCACGCACGCACGCATGCACGAACATACCGGTCACGCACGCATACACAGAAATACAGAAATACACAGGCATACATATTCACTCACTCATTCACACACACAAAACATTCACAGAGAGAAAGACACACAGGCATACAAATACACATTCACACACATGCACACACACACGCGCGCACGCACGCACATTCATACGCACAGTCGCATCCGCATAGAAAGACATACGGACATACCAATACACGCGCACGCAGAAAGGAACACATGCATACAAACACATATACACACATATTCACGTATATTCTCAATAATTTAATGAAATGACAAATGAGTCCCATGATAATTCTGTTATTATAATAATATGTACTTTTAGAAAATAAACTTATCTGTACAAAATAAATGTTTTTAATTTTCATATAATTGATTTTA